ATCTTACCAACGGTAAATTTGCAACTGCTATTGATGCTGCTTGTGATATAGTACGTAAAGAATGAAAATATTGCTCAATGGATATAAAAATTGATTTTAGAAACTATTTGTCTATCCGTGAAATTATTAAAAGACGCCCACAAACAAATTTTACGTTCTAAACTTTTTTTTTATTTCCCTCTGCCCATATTAAAAAAAAAAAATAACTCCTTCAAATCCTCCTATCTGCATGAAGTTAACTCTTTTGATGACGTAGAAATATTTTGCCAATAAGCTTAATACGGAGGGTATAATGTCGAAGATGACGCATATGTGTAAGGCATCCAACCTAGCAAGTTCACTAGAAAACAAGCTTAGAAACGAACAAAGATCGATGGAAAATCAATATTACGGTTAGATAGAATATATCATAAAAATCAATATTTGGGGTTAGATGAAATATATAATAAAAAGAAACAATATTAGGTTTAAGTAGAATACATCATAAAAACAATATTAGGGCTAGATAGAACATATCATAACACTATATTAGTGTTTGATTGAATATATAATAAAAGACAAAATTATGTTTAGATAAAATGAATGATAAAAACTATATTAGGGTTAGACAGAATAAATGATAAAAAGAAATATTAAGTTTAAATAGAATATATTTAAAAACAATATCAGGGCAAGATAGAAGATATTATAACACTATATTAGCTTTTGATTGAATGTATAATAAAAAATTAGGTTTAGATAAAATGAATAAAAACAATATTAGGGTTAGAGAGAATATATCATAATAACAATAAATGGGTTAGATATAATATATAAAAAGTTAGAATATACAGTAAACACTATATTAGTGTAGATAGAATATATAATTAAAATTAATATTAGTGTAGACAGAATGTATCATTAAAACAATATTAGGTAGATAGAATATATAATTAAAAACAATATTAGATAGATAGAATATATAAAAAAAAAAGTTTAGGGTTCGATAGAATATATCATAAAAATAATATTAGGGTTAAATAGAATATATGATACAAAACAATAAAAGGTTTAAATGCGAGATACATTCCAGAATCGTCTGAATATTCACCAAACCACCATTGAAAATCAGTTTGCATGCCCTGGAATAAAAAGAAAAATATAAAGTTACATTTAATGATTGATGTGAAACACTTGTAGTGTCTCTTGCAAATAACGAAGTTGCACTGCATCATGCTATTTTGTTTGTTGTATTTGCTTCTGGTATTTTCACCTATCCCTTTTATTTTTCTGCTGTATATATTGTCCTCTCCATTGCTATCAATTATCAAACACTTTATTTCAGCCCCTCCGCGGAACACACTTATCTTAAAATGTGTCTACCGACTGTCGCTTTTCAACGCAGAAAAACTGACCCGACAAGAGTGAACTATGATTAACCGTCGGGTATTTGTTTTGTTTTTTTAATTGGTAATAGACATCAGAACTTAAATCCAGTATTTACATTAGTTGGACTATTGTCCTCATCTTTGTCGCCATATTTGTCACAACGTTTCGGCCGTTTTACGCTCCGGCCATCTTCAGGTGGTTGGAATTTCGAACTGAACCCTTTATTTCGATCACTGGGGTAGACTGTTCTAGTTCCACGTGCCATGCTTGATGGATGTCAGTTATCAGTTATTTGAGATGTTATCATCTTCTGCTGAAAGAGTTGAATGCTTCGGATATAAATTCTCCTCGAACACTGCTCTTAACTCATCTGGAGTACCACTGCCTGACTTCTCACTTTGAACAGAAACCCTCTTGAGTGATATGCATATAACCCCATCCAAGGTTTTTGCTATCATTTCTAACCTTGATCCCCACAAAGCATGTCGACCCAATGGTATCTTTGTAATAGTTATTAAGAAATGTGCTCATGAATTGGCTTCTGTTCTCTCTAAACTATATAATAAATGCCTCGCTGTCTCTTTCTTTCCTGCCTGCTGGAAGTCATCGCCTGTTGTTCCAGGTTTTAAGAACTCTAGTAAAACATCCGACCCACCCAATTATCGGGCTGTTATTAACCCACTGCCTCTCATTTATTCTTGCCTTGATAGCATGGCTAATATATTATTTACATTGTTCGTACTATCGTCCTCAACTTTGTTACAATATTTATCACAACTGAACCCTTTATTTCGCTCGCTGGGGTAGACAGTCTACTCCAGCGAGCGAAATAATGGGTTGAGTTCGATATTTCAACCGACTGAAGGAGGCCGGAGCGTACAACGTCCGAAACGTTGTGATAAATATGGCAACAAAGACGAGAACAATAGTCTGAACAATGTAAATAGTGTTGTTGAGTACAATGGATAATAAAAAGAAATGGATTGAAGGAGACAAAAGATGGGTTTTGACGTTGCATTGTACTTGACCAGAGGGGAAGAAATAGGAAGTGATTTCCACAGGCAAGACGTGCGAGAGGAAAATCTATCTATCTATCTATCTATCTATCTATCTATCTATCTATCTTTTTTAATCATTTTCCTCCAAGCAAAGTGATGAAATCGACTACGTTGCAAAGAGGTTACTGAAAGTGAAACAACGAAATAGGAAAATAAAAAAACAGAGCCCAAGGAGACATAAGCAAAATAAATATATAATAGATTGCTGCGTGGATCACAATATTAAGATGTAAATGCTTCAAAGACAGATCATATATGTTTGTTGTTCATTATTTCCATTATTCGGACTATTGTTCTCATCTTTTTTTTCCATATTTGTCACAACGTTTCGGCCGTTGTATGCTCCGACCTTCTTCAGGTTGATGGAATGTTGAACTGAACCCATTATTTCGCTCGATGTGTATACTGTTCTAGTTCCACGTGCCATGTCTAATGGATGTCAGTTATCAGTTATCTCCTGTTAATTCACCTCTTCAACTAGAACAGTCTACCCCAGTGAGCGAAATAAAGGGTTCAGTTCGACATTCCAGCAACCTGAAGAAGGCCGGAGCGTAGAATGTCCGAAACGTTGTGAGAAATATGCCAACAAAGATTAGGACAATAGTCCGATTAATGTAAATAGTGTACATAATACTTCATCTCAGAAATATAGACAAATAATGAGAGGTCGAAACGTTGTAATAAATATGGCAACAAAGATGAGGACAATAGTCCGAATAATGTAAATAGTGTACATAATACCTCATCTCAGAAATATAGACAGATACTGAAAGGCCGAAACTTTGTAATAAATATGGCAACAAAGATGAGGACAATAGTCCGAATAATGTAAATAGTGTACATAATACCTCATCTCAGAAATATAGACAGATAATGAAAGGCCGAAACGTTGTAATAAATATGGCGACAAGATGAGGACAATAGTCCGAATAATGTAAGTAGTGTACATAATACCTCATCTCAGAAATATAGACAGATACAGCATGGCTGATGCTAACCTCCAGGAAAGTGACTTGTTGCGCTTTCCCCGGCTAACTCTCTCAGCTGACATGAAGTGGAAAGACTATATTGAATCTATCTAAGCATTTACTTGTTTCGGAAATAGGTAAATATTACTGTTTAAAATTGAGCCTGTAAGCCTTTATTTAAATCGGGAATAGGTAAATTTTGGTTGCGTATATTCGTGTCTGCAAGCGTTTATTTGGATAGGAGACAGATAAATATTGGGAGTTTATATATGAATCTATAATCTTTTAATCTTTTACATTGTTCAAGAATGGGCAAATATTGGTCGTTTATTTTTTAGTCTATAAACATTTATTTGCTTCGGAGATAGGTATATCAGATCGTTTATATTTGAGGTTATAAGTATAAAGTTGCTTCGGGGATATGTGACTATGGATCATATATGTCTGAATTAATAACCACTTGGTTGTTTGTTCGTTAATTGGTAGTGGTTTTTATTTGTGTCTATATTAATCGTCTATATATGTGGAATAATAATCTTTGGGGCATATTAATCGTTTATATATGTGGGGTATTAATCTTTCGCGGATGTTATTCGTCTATATATGTGGTATATTAATCTTTGGGGATATTAATCATCTATGCGTGTGGTATAATAATCTTTGGGGAATATTAATCGTTTGTATATGTGAGCTATTAATCTTTGGGGAAAATTAATCGTTTGTATATGATTAATCGTCTATATATTGGGATATTAATCTTTGGGGAATATTAATCGTTTGTATACGTGGGATATTAATCTTAGGGGATATTATTCGTCTATATATGTGTTATATTAATCTTTGAGGGATATTAATCGTCTGTATATGTGGGATATTAATCTTTGGGGGATATTAATCATCTATATATTGGGATATTAATCTTTGGGGAATATTAATCGCTTGTATATAATTATGTTAATCGTTGGGTGATATTAATTGTCTGTATATCTGGCATGTTAATCTTTGGGTATATTAATCGTTTGTATATGTGAGATATTAATCTTTAGGGGATTTTAATCGTCTATATATTGGGACATAAATCTTTGGGGATATTAATCGTGTATATATGGTATATTAATCTTGGGGGAATATTATTCGACTATATATGTGGTATAATAATCTTTGAGGGATACTAATCGTCTATATATTAGGATATTAATCTTTGGGGAATAGTAATCGATTGTATATGTGTGATATTAATCTTTGGGGAATATTAATCATCTATATATGTGGTATATTAATCTTTGTTTGATATTAATCGTCTATTTATTGGGATATTTATCTTTGGGGGATATTAATCGTTTGTATATACGGGATATTAATCTTTGGGGAATATTAATCTTCTATATATGTGTCCAATGTATTTGATGATACATTCTATTTCTTTCTGTTAGAGCAATCTTTAGTTGTTTTTTTTTCTTTTTACATCGATCTTTGTGCCTTCTCAGCTAGCGCCTTTGTTAGCTTAGATCTTTCACGCGCATGCGTCATAAATTCCATTATGCTTTCCGTGCTAAGCATATTTACAAAATCATCTTGCGTACAACACTTTTCTACGTCATCGGTGGAGTTAAATCGTTGGAGATTCAAAGGATACTTTAAAGTTTTGTTTTTTTTTCTTTTTAAAATGGAAGCAGATAAGGATAAAATGGAACATCATAACGTAAAAAAATGTTTGTGGGCGGTATAAAATAGTTTTTGAAATCAATTTTTACATGCATTGTCATTTTTTCTTATTGTTTTCGTAATATATCCCCAGCAATATGAATAGCTATTGCAGGTACACTCCCGGAAAAGCTATTGCAAGTACACTCCCAGAAAAGCTATTGTAGGTACACTCCCAGAAAAGCTATTGCAGATACACTTTCGGAAAAGCTATTGCAGGTACACTTCCGAAAAAATACTTTTCCTAAATCCTTCCATGATAACGGGTAAATATTTTTTGAATAAATGGATATTGTTTAAATTCGTATTGTTATAGTTTATCAAAATATAAAACTACGAGCCGGGTTTTTTTTTTTAATCTCACCTTTCCTGAAACAAATACTACATTAAAACAAACCAACATAAACTACCAAAATTATGTTAAAAAAGAAAAAGAAATCCGTTAAATCCATTACCTCGTATTTCTAAAGATGCACGGCACACATGTCCATCCCAATTCATAATAATCTGATCAGAGTTTAAACAACATATATTTATTAAGAAAATATAGCTTGAATATCACTTGCTTACTTAACAGACGATGAATTTTGCCACTGATGAATATTCATGGATATTCTCAAATTTAAAACCCTTGATAAACCAGTGAAATCCTTGCTCTTCTATATAAACACGTGCAACAAAATAAACCCGACATTTACCTTGATAGATTCCCTCAGAAGCCAAAGACCCTGGCGAAGAAAAACATTTTCCTCATGTCTTTTAATTCATATATCTTTACTTCTTGTCATTATATATATATATATATATATATATATATATATATATATATATATATATATATATATGAAGAAAAAATTTGGAAAAAAACAAACAAAAATCCTTAAATGCAATTATGTTATTTCATTCATTTTAAACAACATAATTGCATTTAAGGATTGTTTTTTCAAATTTTTTTTTCATTCTGTCGGATCTATATCCATTTACATTTGCTTACATATATATATATATATATATATATATATATATATATATATATATATATATATATGTTATAAATGACAGTTGGAAAAAAAAATCTTACATTTTGCCGACGCGTTTCAGGAAATGTAAATTATCTTTACAGTAAGGGATTTTTTTTTTCATGTCGCCAATATAATTAAATTCCCAGATGAATTCTGTGGACAAGACAGATTGGTATAAAATGACAATTGGAAAAAAAATCTTAGATTGTGTCTAAACCTTTTTTTCTGGTTAATGTAAATTACCTTTATAGTAAGGGATTATTATGTGTGTACAACTAAAGCAGATCATAATTTCAATTTCGATTCCGTGAAAGTATTAAAATATTTTCATAATAAAAATCTCAGGAGGATTTATGAAGCAGGTATAATATCCATCTCACGCACGGTGAATACTAGACCTGGTTTCTTTAATATTTCCCCTTTTTAGCGAGATTGATGCTCGACAAGCATACACATAAAATTTTAGAACCTAATAGAATTCTTTTCATTTTCTTTTTTCATTTCAAAATAATCACAAACTTTTAGGAATACGTTATGAAAGCGTCGCCCATGTGACGACGGCGTGACCATGTTAGACGGAAGGCTGATCATTTTAAAAATTTTCAGTTATCTGTTCTGAATAAGACTTGTGTTTTTATGTCCATCGTATTTGTCATATTGAACTGAATTGTATTTTGATGAATATTGTCTTGAAAAAGGTTTATTAAACCGAAACGTCAGACGTCGACATTTCTTTCATTTTAACTACATTTAAGGATTTTTGTTTGTTTTTTCAAAATTTCTTCATTCTGTCGGATTTATATCCATTTACACTTGCTTATATATATATATATATATATATATATATATATAGCATAATGAGAAGTCACGTATACTTTCTTAATATGTATATATAGAAAAAGTTGCAAATTAAAAAAATAATAATGTTTTATTTTATGAAAGTATTTATTTATTTATATATATATATATATATATATATATTTGATATTTTTTTAAACAACATCTAAAATATCTATGACAGATTTAATTTAGGAATGTCCGAACAGTGACGTTCGCTATCACGTGACGTCCGCGTCTCGCGACGGACGCTACTTGCTAACAAGAAGGAAATTACTGGAAAGTAATTGAAACTCACCTGAAGCGAGCTGAATCTATAATGCTCCTCATGCCAATGACACTTCCACCGAGCTTCTCTACGGCATATGATTTCACTGAATTTTGATGTGTTCCTCTCGAATTTTAAACTGGGGTCATCAGGAGAGAATGTGCACCGTTTCGGGGCCTTCCTCTCAACGGTTTCAGTTGCACACCGGCCCCCCTCACTGATGTGAGGCCCCATTATAACGATATACAAGTGTTGTAGATAAACTAGTTCAAATG